TTTATATATATATATATATACACACACATCTGCGCATATTTTGAAAAAAATCAAGTGCTGAATTGCTGATTTATGGATGGAATATTAACAAGTGTGCCCGGAAAGATTAAGTAAGGAGTTTGACAAGATTATAACAATTACTTATCAAGAGTGTCTAAGAGTGTTTATTTAATGATAAGGTATGAACGTTTCCGACCTGTGATTTTCCTTTTTTAATCAAAATATGTAATGCATGACTTTATCAATAATTTTTATTTTTGCACAGCATTGCTATTATTATAATAATTTATATATTACTAGAAAACAATAGACACAAGTTTCGACTTTTGCATACGTTTTCTACATGATATATTTCAAGTTTCCAAAGTTTTAAATTGTACTAACACAAAAATATCATCGTTAAATATGAGTCTATCACTGTATAGAATATTTAAAAAATTATATTAATTATGTAAAAATTAATTAAAATAATAGATTATAATAGATTAGTTACAAAATAATAGAAGCAAATCAAAGTATAAGTTACATTTATATTTAGACATAAAAAAGGTATAAAAATTTATATTGCCGTAATTTAGCTCTTTAATTCAAAACTTAATTCAAAATCTTTTAACTATTAATTTATTATTTATAACTATGCCTAAAATTAAAATAAGTCGAAATATGATTGTGTGAAACTTAAAATTTTGTATTTGGATTTGTTTATATTTAATTTTCTAATGGCAACGAAATATATTAAAATATGCATATGTTTTTATTACAAGTCTGTCCAACTTTCGACTCGTGAGCTAAGCACTTTCCCCTTTCCATTGAGGAAAAGCGGGAAAAAGGGGAAGCCCTATAGTTTACGAACCGGAAATTGGACAGGCCTGTTCTATTCAAATATTTACAAATATAATTGAATTCCGTGTACAATTGAATCGTAATTGAATATAAACGAGATTTTACTTCATCTTTTAATTTTTAATGATAAATGTAATGTATAACGAAAATATTCATAATTGTTAAAATGCCATACTAAATTATATATATATATATATATATAAAATGAACGAAAGAATTTTGAAGAAGAATTTTCCATTCCGATTTTTAACAATGATTATACGACTACTTCAGATGAAGTACAAGTGACACAAATGGATAATTTTTATCTTTTGCTAAACGATAACAATTAACTTTTAATATCCATTTAGAACGCAACTGTTTCTTAATATCGCAGCAATTACACAGATCCTTATAATTACGACCACGTTAATTAAATATTATAAATATATCACAACATTTATAATGCGTACTATGTATGACGTAATTGATGACATTGTTTATGATGTATGTATCGACGAATGAAACAATTCATTTTAAATCGCACAAAACCTGTGCGATTGATAACTGGCGAAAATCTAATTGTAATATTTCAATTTCATTTGATTAATAATTTTTCGTGCCGATCGTGCGTAATATAAACATCCGAGAGATTCGCAATCACGTGCGGTTCGATGAACCCCACTATCCGGATTTTTTCAATAGATCTTGCTTTTTTGTATTCCGATAACGCCGTATCAGTTGTGCGAAATGACGTCTTTCGTTATTGTTCGTTACTGTTATAAATTATATATTTATCTTTCTTCATTTTGCCCGTTAAGTTTGAGTGGAAAGGAATTGATCGACTAATGAATAAATTAAAAGTCGTCTGATTATTTATATGGAACCCTTAAACACCGAGTATAGATTGTTGACGACAATTAGACAGTAATTTATAGTAATAGAGGCTAATTCATGCCGCTTCATTAACTCGATGATCGGGCCTGCTTGTAATGAAAAGAAAAATACAATTCATAAATTGCCGACCTGGATACTTTATTGTTAATTCACAATGTGCATCTTATCGATCGCCACGATCTTTAATTGTCGGTAACTATCTTGTTCATTATTGAAACACATATGTTCATTGCCTTCAGACTTCTTTTCAGTCTTCTTTTTATTATCTTTACTATTGAAACGATAGAAATGCTTATTGCGTGTGAAGGTCTGATAATTACTTGCTTTGTTTAAATAAAACATTAATCTGTTTAATTATGCAAAGTTTAATTAGTGTGTCAATAAAGATACAGATCAATTAAGGAATAAAATGGCACATAACAAAGAATAAATTATAGAAATTAAAGGGATACGTTACAGTAAAATTTAAAAAAACCGATTTTTTTTTTTTCGAAAGGTTGATATCTTCTAAAAGCTGCTTCTAAAAGATTTTAGTGAAATTCGAAATACTTTTCGAGTTGTATAAAACATGCTTATTTGGCCAGTTTTCTAAACTCTAAACTTTTAACCTAACTTAAGTCTTGTCTCGTGTGTTAGGTTACAAAAATTTCTTCGATCATATAGTCAATGTTGTGTTTGTTTTATCAGCGATAGATTAATAAATTCTGATAACTTATCGATAACTGAATCTATAAATTTTTCTCAAAATCACTTATCTTCAACTGACAGCGTCTATAATTTTGGAACAATTTTTGATCGATTGATTTCAAATTTCAAGTAATTTTGCAAAATAAATAATTAATTTTACAAAATAAATAATTTCAGTTAAGCGCAGACATTTTTTTAAATTCTTAATTTCTGAGAACAAGATGTTTACAGATATTAAAATCTAGTAAAATTAAAAATTTTTTTTCAAACAGCTACCATTTTATAAAAAAAAATTATTTTTAAAAATCCCTACGCTTAATTGAAACTACTCATATAATTTCGAAACTTTCGAAAGAATTTTTCATTTTCGATAATTACTTGATTTCTCTATGCTATCAATGGGCCATGTTGTTTGAACAAAGAAATCTACAACACTATATATTTGTATTTTTACATACAAAAATTCTTAAAATTCAAAGTGTATACAATCAGTATACTAGTTAATATCTTTTCTAAGACTTGTAGTTTTTAAAAAAAATCACAAAGAAGAGCTTTTTTGAATCTTTATTATAGCATATTCCTTTAAAAGAACAGAAAGGAATACTCGGTAAGATTTTAGGTGCTTCATAATCTTGAATTTATATAATTATATTTATATAATTATATATTTATATAATTTATATAATTATATAATTTAAAAGAATAAAGGAGAGGATTATTAGGCATTTAAAAAACTTTTTAATTTTTAATTTTTTTATTTTTTATTTTTACATTTATATATATATATATATATATATATAT